TTCATTTAGATATCATAATGAAGCATGGCATTGTACAGCTACTTTTTTCACTATTTAATGTATTCTACATTCTTGAGACAGTATTTGAGAAGCCAACTCCAGTTGATTTCCACTCTTTTAAGCCAAATATTTGTAAAACTACAGCAAGGTTAATAAGTATTACTTGGATCTGAGAATTTGAGCTTGTTTAAACGGAGCCTACATAGATATAATTAGCCTTGTATGTAAAGTTGCATATCCTAAAGCACTGGTATAAGGGATCACCCTTGGAGATTCCCATGTATCGTGAGAATCTAGATACAAGTACTTATCCTTAGTGCTATCTGACCTGAATCACAGATGTTCTATGAGTTCAAAGCAGCTAGTTATAAATATATTTTCTATTGTTCACATGGGATTTTTAACTGTCAGGGTCAAGTGAAAATGATTTTGGCACAAGTCTAAAGGAGTTACCGCTTGAATATATTTTACTGTTTTTAAATATATACACAACAGTTAAAAAATGCAAAGCATATTGATACGAAATAGTGGGCTTTTTATCTCTGGGACAAGTGGGCTATTTATTTCGGTCTTGATTATCCTCGACAAAATTGATCAGATTAGTTTTTCTGATGGAAAAAACATTAAGTAGGGTTCGCCACCAACTATTGTCGATATGCCGATCATGTCTCAGACTAAGTGGCAGATATCTCAAGAATGTCTACCAGTCAAGAATGTTGATCTCAAGTTTCTCAATAACCTCTTACTCTGTTCGCACATCAAAATAGCATGAAAAATGTATTCCAGAAGAGAAGCCCTAAGAGTTATGATCTAATTGCATCAAGTGAGACTGAAATATTCAGGATGAATGTGAACCATAGTAAACTAGCAAGAAAAAATGTTTGTTTTCAAAATTAAAAAAGCATCTTTATATTCTTACTAAAAATACTATAAATGGGGGTCTATTATCAGACAATCTTTCTTACGCTCATGGATACTTCTACTTTCCCTTCTTAAATGCATGTTTAAGTGAATATATTGCACTTTGACTGACGCTAATTTGCTCTCACTGTGATGGTTTACACTAAATTACATTTTGTCCAACGGTCACCCAATAGAATTGCGAAAAAATGACACCTAGCTCTCCCTCAAAGTTCCACCAGTATGACTCTTAACTATTGCCCTATTCGGTGGGATGTTGACTTTAGTTTAAGGTAATGGGCAGGCATCAGACTCTCTTACTCTTAGGAAAGTGATAAGTTGTAAATTTGATGCATATCTGTATCCTAGACAAAGCATTACAGACAAGTTTTTATCCCACAACCTGTCATTAAATGCATCCACCTTTTGTCAACAGGCCATACAAAATTTGAGTCATAGAAAGCGTCGACGCGAGCCGACGCCGAATAATATGAATAGATCATAGGAAGGAATTTTGATACAACTATACTATATCCTTAAATTTTCTTACCAATGCAGCCGCTAGCCACAACAATGAGATTGATCCCGGGCGCTTTGAGTCAGAAAGTGGGAAAAGTTTGGCTTCCGAGGTCTCATCGCTGGCCTACCTCTCTTCCGAATGGGCACCCTGGGGCCCTTGCGGCTTAGTGGAGCCCGAGAAGGTTTCCGTCCTCAGGAGTGAGCAGGCCGCCTTTGGTTCCACAGGACGTGCACACACTGTCTGTCAGCAGACACGTTGGCGCAGTTGTGCAGATGCCGCCATGCTACAGCTTGATCCCGCAACTGGGGCCGGGTCCGTCCAGGGCTTAGCTCCTTCGGCTGCTGTAGTCCCCTCTTCATTCGCTTCTTCACAATTTGATCAGGGCTCACCGAGGCTGGAAGGATCACGTCCGGTTTTGGCCATCCAGTCGGCCGCCTTAATCTGTCCCGAGCCCCTCTTCCAGACACGCAACTGTGCGTTGGCCCACTGCGAAGGTAATCATGATGAGATGCTAAATTTTCCACCTATGCTGACGATTCGACATAAAAATCATTTCTTAATCGAAGTACGCATGCACACATTCATTAGTTGCATGCATAGAGGAGATCACAATAAATATTAATGTCAGTTAGGCAATGTGAGTGAGTTTTTTTGAAAAGTCGGCCGAGGAGACTTATTTGTAAATATGAATGTTTTTAGAATCAGAATTATGCCGCGAATGTATTATGTAAAGTTAAATATTGATAATTTATATTGACCTAATTAGATAACATGCTAAAATAATAA